GTTATGTTTGGTTAGGAAGGTCAAAAACGTATCAGCGTACGTACGTACGTACGTACATGTGTAATACTGTATATAGGCAGCAATAAAGTTCGGACTTTATCCTTTTCGTTTTGAGATTCAATATGGAAAAGGAAGATTATATAAAATATTTAAACAGTTGGTATAATAGACTTCGAAGTCGATATGTTGATTTGATTGGTGACTTTGGAGGTAAATTTCAATTAGGATAACTAATATATTAAAGAATATTCAAAGTTCTCTTATACTGTATTTAAATTTTCTTCCGAATAAAAATTATATTTGGACGACTTTATGATTAAAATCTTTATACAATATTAATGTATACGTAACTAATAATATATATATAACGATTTTGTTAATTTTTTAAGGTAGTGAATTGTTCGTCTTAGAGGGTGATAGTTTGCTTTACGAATTCCTTTGCGATCCAGAAAGTCATTTTCTTAATTTTATACAACCATATGGCGGTGGTCAATTTTTGTCCCTCACTTATCTTGTAGAAACATTTCTTAACAAACTCAAGCAACGTGGATGCGTCTTCCATCTCGTATTTTTTCATGCACATAAAGTGATATGGAATTGTGATCCAAAATTTCGAATAGCTAGAGAAATCATAATTAATCATTTAAAATCGTGTCAACATGAAAGTAAAGTTCCAATTTATGAATTTCCGGCTTGGTGGGATCCACAATTTAATCAATATATCGATGATAGACAACCGCTATTTATCTTATCTGGTGACGGAACCACTGAAGACGGTATTAAAGAATCAAAAATTTTATCAAAAAAAGGTCAAAAGAAAATGTCAATTCTTTTAAAGGGATTATTTTACCACTCACTTCATAAAGATCTATCTATGGCGCTCATACCAGGCATGGAGTTTAGAGATTCCAGGGCTCAGGCTTTTGTATTTGATCGTGGTGGTAATGTAGAATCATCAACTGTCGAAAATATTCCAAATATTGTTGAGCTATGTTCAAATGAGGCGATAAATTCAAATGAGCTTGAAAATCAAGCCGTATTTTCAAATCCATTTAATGAGCAAGAAAATCAAATTGCATTTTTAAATCTATTTAATGAACAAGAAAATCAAAACATACTTAAGAATGGTGGAAGAAGACTCATTCTGACTATCATATCATTAATTGTTCTTTTAAATCAAAATTCAGAGCCAATATACCGCTTGCTCTCCAAACTATTTTTACTTCATATTTACCTTTTGGATTATATTACCTTGCAATTAAGAACTGTGCCTTCAATACAGGAAGAAAATATTAGTGGCATTAATGATGTTAATACATTCTTAAAAAGCTTTTATAATTGTTGTGACAATATATTAGTTAATAATTCGCTTAAAAAAGCCATTAGCTATTTTGAAGACGTGGAAAATAACCTTGCAGATTTTATAGATACTCGTCTCTTTATATCTCTAATTAAATTACAAAAAGACGGAGTTCTTGACTTTAATAGTCTTCCAAAAGGAATAAAGCAAGATTTCGATATAGCATGGAAAATTTTAGAACAATACGATAACAAAATCATTATTTTTGATGGTTTGTTAGATAATATTCAAATTAACAAAATTAATATTCCAATTTATGCAAATAAAGAATTATCACTTCTTCCATTTGATTATCCATTTTTCGTCGAAATTCTTGGAGATATGCAATTGGAACTTGGTGAAAATAATAGTAGTATTATTGATTTTGGTTCTTACGGAATGGCTGGAAATATACCATATGATGAAATTACCCACTGGCATTCGATAAGACCACTTAAAGAGCCAAAAAATAATTCTAAATATAAAAATAAACCTAAAATAGAAATGAAACAGAGAAATTATCAAAAATATGTTGCATTTTTAAAAAGATATGCAGAATCATTAAATGTAACGCAATTAAAAATTATTAAGAAAAATGGTGATAAAAAGTCTGACAAAAAACTATCTAATAGCTCAAAAAAATTGATCGAACAAGCTGATAAAGATAGATTAGACAAATCATTAAAAGATGATGAAAATTCTTTTAATGGTATAATCGAAGAAATAAAAAAAATTTCATGTGATAAATTAAAGTTATCTTACTTATGTGATCAAATCGACAAAGATAAATTTAAACATCCGAAAATCAAGATGAGAATACAAATTTATAAATTAAAACTTTTAATTGACCAATGGAACAAATATTGTATAAATGCCGAGCTTAAAAAAAAGGATAGCAACTATTATGTAATTCCTGTTAAAATATACCTCTTTTTAATGCATCAATAAGTTTAAATAATGTCCCAACCATCTTGTTTTTGAATGTATCAATTAACTCGTCTAATTCTTTATCTGGCATTCGATATTTTGGATTCACAAAAGTAAAACTTGAATCGTGTCCCTCCCAATCAAAGTTACTTTGCATAGGAGTATCTAATTCTTCATCGTCATTATTATTTCTTTTCTTAGCGTCTCTCTTTCGTTTAATTTGTTTTTTATCTTTTCTTTTTGTGCAATAGCATCCTTTTTCTTCGCCTGTTTAATTAGTTGAAAGAAATTGTATGTTCAATAAATTGAATAACTTGTAAGAAAAAAAAAACTGATATACATATATATAATAATAATACTTCAAATTTAGGATCATCTCTTCTTTTTTGGTCTTCTGCAGCCTCTAGCTTTTCTAAAATATCAATTGCCAACTTAGTGCATCTATTACGATCAAAGTTAAATAATATAGCTGGTAATTTATCTTGAGCAGAAAGTTCACATAATAAAGGAACAATTGCTATATTAAAAAAGCTCTCATCGTAAACATCCAATTTTTTATCATCTTCTTTAGCAGTAGACTCTAATTCATTAAATCTTCCTTTAATATCATTACTGAAATTTTCAATTACTGTATTAACCATCTTTGTTTTTGATTTGTCTTTAGCCCAAGATATAAATAGCTCCTTGATATCAGCTTCAAATTTGTCAGCATCATCTTTTACAATATATCCAATATCTTTGAAATATTTATCTGGATTAATTTTTTGAAGTTCAGGATCATCTTTATTAATATGATTCATTGCATCCCAAAGTTCAATTCAATGAGATGGTAATAACTTCATATCAGAAGGAATTCCACTTTCGGCAACAATTACTGAAGACATTGCCGAAAATGGGTGGATAGATATCAAACAATCTTGACGTAATTCTTCTTTTGGTTTGATCGTAGTCTCAACCAAAGGGCGCAAAGGAAATTTTGGAATAAAAACATATTGTTGAAGATCAGAGAATCTCTTTGTTGTTTTAATTAATTTCATTTTATATCCACGAGAGGTTTGAATTTTTTCAATCCATTTACTAAATGATTCAGGGTTTCCGATCGTAGCAGAAAGAGCCAATATTGGACATTGTGCAAGAAGTAATAAAGATTCCCAGGTACTACCACCATCCATTTCACCTATACAATGAACTTCATCAAGTATAATACGACGAATTCTTGAAACCCATTTGACGCCAGATGGTGATAATACTTGTCATAATTTTCCCTATACTCTCTAGAAAACAATATATATATATATATATATATATGTATGAAATTATTTAATGTAAATATAAATAAAATAAGAAATTACCATAAGTATTAATAAGTACCTGGTCCATATTCCCCAAACAGTTTTGCCATT